TCAAGTACTAATTGGTGTCATCTTTGTAGCAGGAAAATCTTGTGCCTGCTGCACTGTCATAATTTTTCACAATGTTTTTGCATTTTCTAAAGCTGTTTATGGTACTGAACTTCCAGTCTCCCTCTAACATTTAAGTGTAGGAGGGATGAAAAACTTTTGAAAGTTGGAAAACTCTTTCCGAAAGCATGTGAGAGAAGGAGCAGTTGACTGTATGCTTACTATCATTGGAGCTGCTGCCAACAACTAGCACTGAAGTTATTTTCATTCTAGAGCTGGCATTGAGTTAAAAAGGGAGGTGATGCAACAGCTTGCCCTGCACACCTGGTACAGCATGAGGCTTTCTGAGGTGAATAAAAGAATTGCACACTGGACACTATAGTTTCATACTGGACAATTGCACTTCCCTTGTCTTTGCTAAATGTCTACAGCATTGTCCACCTAGATACCTCTGAAACAAATAGGTTTTTAACTAAAGGTGCACTCAGTTTGAAGGCATTAATCAGCTTAAGGTAAGACAGTTGCATACCATAGGTATGTCCGTACGTGTCTGATCAGTTCCCAGGTCCTGGGGAATGTCCTGTGCAATGTTCATTATAAGCAAAGATCTTTTGTTTGACATGGATTCAGAAGAAGATCTTTTATTTGACATGGATTCAGAATCAGAAGAGGAAAATGTGACTTCCAGAGACCCGGGCTCATGGTAAAGCATTCAGCAGTTTTGATCACACTTACCATCTTTATTGGTTTTGGACATTTGGCAAAGGTATCTTTCAAAACCCTAAATTTCCTCTAAATCCAAATGGCTTTAAACTGCAGGTGTTATTTTCCAGCCACTGTAATATCCCCATCAGAGACTTCTGGTAGCCAGAGTTGGCCGACAGGGATGTGACTTGATGCTTGGATTTGGCACATCTGGCCAGAAGCTTTCTTGGCCAAGAGCTCCAGGACTTTGTATGCGAGAAACTTATGGGAGCTGATGAGAGAAGTTTCTAGCTCAAGCAGAACAGCAGTAGGAACCCAAATGACAGGTATCAGATGCAGTAGCTTTGAATCACTGCAAAAAATCTGTGTACCCAAAATAAGGAGCATTGCTGAGTGTATGTACTCCCTGCAGTCAGAGCAAATTTATCCTTAGTGACATGGTGTTAGGAGGGCTGCCATGGTGAGTTTAGCATTTTCAGTGCATATATGCCATCAAGCTGGAAGTAAAATACTCCATTTGAGCCTGTTTTCAGGACAAAAGGTCAGCCTTATCCCTCTGCACAGTGCCAGTGTTTTAATAATGACAAATAAGTAGAACTGAGGGTAATGGACATTCTGGAAATGCTGCACAAATACTACAGGTTGAATTTCCTGGTATTTGGGAAGGTAACTTTGGCCACAGGCTGGCCCATCCTACCACTCACCTGCACCTCAGCTTTGTTACTGGAGCATGCCTGAGGCTGCACCATGGATCTTTTATGGCAGGGCTGTGCTCTCACCTGCCAGCTGCTTCCTCAGGTAAAGGCAGGAACAAGGAGTTGGCTGGGGGGGATGTGCCCAGGAATCCTTTGGGGAGGTCTGATTGCACCATAGAGTGAATTGAACAGAGACTCTAAGATGTTCAAATAGTGAGGAGGAGCCATGGAGAAAACACCTCATGGAAAACCATAGAAAGTGCCTTTAAAGACTGATGTTTAGGCTGAAACTCCCTGTATAAGACTAAAAACTGTCAGGGTGGGATGGGAGTAGCCATTATGGAAGCTTGTGTTTGGGGAGGGGAAAACCGAGATGAAAGCTGCAGGAGCTCTTTTGTCTTTCTCTTACAGTCCACTGTTATTTTTGATGGTTGGGCCCAGCTTTCGGGAAGCCTCATAGCCAGCTTTCAAAGCTGTGCTTTCTGTCATCTCTTGTTTCACTTGTGTCAAACACTGGGGAAAAGTAGGGTGCCAAATGCCTCTGAGCTGAATTTCTGATTGGAGAGGCTACACCTCCGAGGTCCTGCAAGGAATTCTCAGGTTGACAGGAGAGCTGATGGCCCTTAACACGTTGTTTCACTTCTTTGGCATGTGAGTGTACTTATGAGTGAGAGAAATGGATACTGGGAAGAGCTGGGGTCACCTCATAGTTGTTATTCATCTGGAACCAGTCTCTGGCTGCTGTGAGATGTAAGGTATGCTACAGCCCTCACACAGATACTGTAAGGGGAGTCCTACGGGCTTGCTGAATTCTTGGGATAACTGCAGAGAGCTCAGCACCTCGTGCTACAGATCACGCTGCCTGTGCTCTACGAGAATGGGACAGCACAGCTCTGTTGCCTGCCAGCCTGAGGCTCTGCTTGAGTTTCTCAGGTTTCAGAGGCCTCCCTACTCCATTTATGTAGCCTTTCCTTATCCTTCTCAAGGTCTGATTTCATTCCCCCCCATGCTGTAGGGCTGGAAGGATTGCAGGGGAACCTGTGTGTGCTGAAGCCTGGAATCTGCAAGAGCAGCTGCCTGTGTTGGTGCCTTGTGGGCATGTCTGGCATTCCTCCAGCCCAAAGGGTGGTGTTGGGTTGAGAGCCTATGCTTTTTGCAGGCCAGTGTTGTGGTTTCAGAGATGAATGCAAGTGAAGTTTTGTCACCTGGCTGTCAGGAACACCTCCTGCCCTCTGCTGCCAGCTAGAATTAGCTTAGTGGGTGAGCTAAAAGGCACCATTAGGAATGCAGCTACTCTGGAGACTTTCTACAGAGAAAAAAGTCCCATGCACAGTAGAAATTTCATCCTTAATTCTGCTACCCTTCACTTGAATTAACAATTCTTTTTGCTACTCCTCAACTGCCCTACACCCTGGAGTCCTCCTAGGCTTTCTTTAAGGTGGCTGAAATGGAGATGAGCTATGGGTGCTCTACAGTTCAGTTAATTGGTCACTGCCAATGGTAACTGCTGATTCTTCTTTTCCATTCCCAGTGATGCTTTATCCCCATGACGTGCTCAACTTCTGCTGGCCCACAACCTGCTACAGGTTTTAAAACTGCATCCCTTGACTGGCTGTGACTGGGCTGGGGCAGTGGCTGGGGCACACTAATCTACTGCTCACCTGTTTGCATATCACTTGCTTTACTACTGGAATACAAACTAAAAGTGGTTGTTTCTGGATGAAGGAGATTTCACTAAAGGAAACAGGACTGCTTATATTCAGAGTGAGAAATTATTTTTGTTAAAATCGCTGGTTGCTCTTCTCTTCCTTGTAATCTGTGTATGCACCAGGGGTCAGCTTTGAGAACAGCAGGTGAAGTGCCAGAGAAAAAAGGTTGGTGGCTTTGGAGACATCACACAGCTGCAGTGCTCAGCACTTGTGTATCTTGGGTCCTGGGTGGTCAAAAACTGAAGTGAGATACTGGGCTTTCCCATGGCTTTCTGAAGTAGACTTGAGTTCAGATTTTGTGGTTTTTTTCCCCTTTGCATAAATTTTTAGGTCTCAAATACAAGTGCTATGATACAAAGGTGGAAAAATTAAGGGAGCTCTAAAATACATTTGAAGGCCAATGTTAACAAGTGGCACCTAAATCTCTACTCTGCACCTGTGCTCTACCTAATAAAAGGTCTCACTGTTTTAAAAAATATGGAATCAGTAACAGTTTCCCTTTTGCCAGTCCTTTCTTACTGTATTCTCTTTAAGGTTCCTTTTGCATTGCTATTTGTACTTATCCTAGTCTGTGGCCTGGGGCTGCTGCCTCTCCCAGGTAGGCAGACACAGGAACAGCAGTCATGCACTGAAGGGCATTACTGGAAAGTCTCATTGGTTACCACAATGGAACTGCCTGCCTTAGGGGCTACAAATCAAACTCCAGGGCTTAATTTTTATTTATGCTGATGTTAGAGTTCTCTTACTCATAAATGTTGCACAAAACATTGCTGAGGAAAGAAGTAGCCCTTTTTCCCCACTGTCTGATGGAGCCATTTGTAGTTGAATCATGAAATGCTGTCAGTTGGGCTGCATCATTATTACAACCACCCTTTCATAGATATAAATGATGAAGTGTACGGAAATGCAGAGAAACGAGATTGTGAAGTCATTCTGCAGCTACACCTAAGTGAAAACTCTGTAGGAGCTTTAGACACTGGGTGGATCAAGCATAAAAGGATGGCTTGAACACTGTCTTCTGGCCAGCCCTAAGCAAAGCCCTACTTTGCTTTTTTTGTGAATAAACAGAATCCTACCTTCGAAAAATAGAGCAGTAATGACAAAACTGTAGCTTTAAAGGTAAGAGGCCATTTTTTTAAGAGCAAAGTAACACTAGCAGCCTTTTGTCTCTTTGAAGAAAACATTGATGTTATGATGTATGTACTCATGGCCCACATCAATCTGGGCAGAAGAAAGTCTTTTCATTGCAGACCCCCGCTGCCAAGCGCCCCTAAGTTTGTTACATTGGAAGCACTTGCATTTGTAATGGTGTGTGACTGCCTTACTCTGCTACTGCTTGTGCCAGAACTCGAGGATAACACAAAGTAAAATGTGATGAGAGAAAAAAAATTCAAACCCAACCAACAAAAACTCTCAGAAAAAATCCCCAAACTCCAGTGTTGATTAATGTTATCAGTGATGTGGGTCAGGCTTGCATATTAAGGTCTTTAAACAATTTAGGTTTTAAACATCACCTTAAAGTATATGTGAATAAAAGAGAGAAAGTCTTAATTCCAAGGCATCCAAATTTGCTCTTGGATCTGCAGATAAACTGATTTTATGTAAGTAACATTTATCTAGAATGTTTTTTTCCCCACAATCTGATAGGGAGTGCCTGTACAATGAAAGAAACCAGTTCAGGATTGGACTGACTGCTCCAGTTGCTGGACACTGGGGTGTGTGATTATCTGGTTCTTCACCAGACATTTCACTGTGCATCCAATAAATGTTCACACTTACGGTTTTGGCAGACAGGTGCTTTCTTTGTCTGTTTTAATCAATTTATTTCCTCTTTTAAGTTGCATCTACCCAGAAAAAAATGCCATTGATGTTGAGACAGTTCATCAACAAGAAATATGGTCAAGGAACTGTTTTTATTTATTTTTGTGTTGTATTACAAGAAATGGGTATGTCATTACTTGTGCCTTTCTGTGAGGTTCACTGCTGTGGTGTTTTCTTACAATATTTTTTCATTTACAGAACATGAAGGTGAAATTCTTATTCATCTTTAATCAGACTCATGTTGACAAGAAGCCAAGGTTTGCTGAATGACATCTTTTACGATGTACAAGTCACAAGTGTGGAGACATGTAAGGAAGAAGAGCCAACTAAATTCCCATTATTGACCAAGAATGGAGAACTTGGAATGGAGGGCCCCAAGAGTGGGTGAAGTTCTGTCAGAGGAGCAAGGAGGCTCTATACTTGGATACATCTAACCACACTTTAGTTTTCGAACCAGTCCCTGTGCATCAGAATTCTTCGTAAAGTAGAAACAAGTTTCCTAGGGCATCCCTTCTGTTCAGCTCTCTGGGGCAAGGAATAGAGGGGGAATTTCCTTCAAGCTTGGAGAAGGTCTCTGACCACTTGGGATTGAGGACAAACACTCCCTGTACTGTACTGACGTAGCCCAGTGGCCACTCCTTTTCAACAAGACAGGCTCTGATGGGAATGAAGAACTCCTCACATTATCTCACATGCTTTCCAGTGAGGCAGAGCACTCATGCTGCAGGCCAGATTTACAAGGCAGCCCAGCTGAGTGTGGCAAATGAAAGGCTGGTGCCCATCTGCCCAGCCACATGGACATGGCTGAAATACTCTGGTCTCCTGCCATTGTTGACAAGAGCAATTTATTACTGCAGACAAGGCACCCAGGAAAGTGCCTGTTCCTTTCTTTGGGAATCGTGTTCTGCACTGCAATGCTGTGATTGTGCCACACATGTTTTTCTCTGACTGGTCTCCTCTAGCTATTTTTTGACATTTCTTTTTTTTCTGAAAGTTTAGTGAAGCAGAGGTCAGTCTATAGGAGCTACTCAAAGCTGCAATGGGTCCTCTGGCCGACAGAGTCACAGACTTGGGTCGATGCTCACGAGGCACAGGGGAGGCAGGTGCTGGCAGTTATGTAAGAACTGGTACAACTTGGGCTTCCTGGAGGAGGAAGGTTAAAAACTGACCCTAGGGAAGTTTAGAGGACAAGCTTTATCCAGGTTCCTAAGACTTCTCCTAGTTCCTCACCTACACAAGACAATGTAACTTGCCAGCATTTCCTCAGAACCTGTTGAGCTCAGCAACGGGAACGTCAGGTAATAGCTGTATTCTGATTAAACAGTGACATTTGGGTTGATTTTGTGCAATGTATGTGCTAACTTCAATTTAAACTTTAACCAGAAAATACAGCACCTCTTTTTCATTTGCTGTACAAGGTGCCTGATGCGTCTTCTAGATAGTCCTAGTCATCATAACAGTAAGCAATTCAGTCCTTTTCCAAAACTAAAGCTTGATGCATAATGGTATGCCATGGCTGTCATTCATACAAGAAATTTGACTCAGCAGTCTCATTTAGTTAAGAACTGAAAATAAACTACAGTCATTAATCTACACAGATCTGTTAAAAGTTGGATTTTCTTGTGAAATAATTTGATTTTTCACTTGTGGGCTTCTGTGAGTGGTAATGTAGTACACTACATGGTGGAACTGTTTGTCCGTTCTGGAAGAGGACATTGTCTGATATTAAATTTATGTTAAATTATGTTAAATTGCTGAATTCTTATAACTACAAAATCTCAGATCTTTATAGCAGGACTATATCAATCACACTACACTATCAATTAATTTATTTAAAATAAGAAATATTTCCTAACTTACTGTTACAGCTCTAAAAATATAAATCTGACTTTAATATTCTAAAGTTTGAGTAATACAATTATAGGCAAAATATACAAAATTCTACTGATAACCAACCCTTTATCCTTTAAGGTCTAATTTACACAGAGATTAATGCCCAATTAATAGTATCCTGCTAGAGAGATCTTAGTAGGACTTAAACAGAAATAACTGAAAGTAAGCCGAACAATTTACTCCTGGTTGACAAATGGCAATTCACCACAAAAGGAGCTCAATCCCCGTTCAACAGGTATGTTTTGGTTACTGTTATGAATACTTATGTGAAATGTGAAGGGTCCCTGTAAAGTTTTCCTTAAGTTCATCAATTTCCTTATTGACTTCTGAATCACAGTCACAAGCCATCAAGTTTAAAGCTCCCTTACAGGTGTGTGAAGTGCCTGGGTGTTCTTCAAATTCCACACCACAGGAATCGGACTCTGTCCCAGCATCCGCAGTTTCTGTGGTATCTTCTGAAAACTCCTCTCTGATCAGTGTCTCCCTTGACCTTTCGCTCCATGACATTGATTCACATTTGTTTGGTTCCTTTAACATCTCCGTGGTCTCACAGAATTCTTCACTCTTTGTAGCTTTCCTCACCCTGTGACCTTTACTGGTAACCTCGAGCTGTTCTCGCACATCAAACTCCTGCACATGCAGGGGGTCCAAGGCTTCCTGGCCTGCATGCATCAGCTCTGTCTCGCTGTCCTGGCAACAGCCGAGGTCTGATTTCAGCACTTCCAACATCTGGCGCATTTTGCCCTAAGGGGTGAAGGGAGAAAAGGCTGACACATTTCTCCAGCCCATGGCACCTGAGCACCGCTCAGACTCAAGGCTTAACTCTGACAGAAGGAAAGGAAGGCTGCTTGCAATCAAGTGACTAAATTAAACAGTCACCAAACTGAATTGACTGTTGTCCATTCTTTGTCACTGCACCTGTGATTCCTGATCTGCTATGATCCATGAGTGAGCAAATCTCATTTATGGAGAGAGAGAACGGCTCCCCACTGAGTATTCTGGTTACCTTTACCCTCAAACACACCAGTGCATTTGCCATGCTCGTTGGAAATGTCACCTAAGTAATATGCATTGACTATTATAAGGGCAGCACATACCTCATTGAGGCGGTTCTTATTTTCTTCTATATAGCACTCAAACAGTTCATCCAGGACCCTACAAATAAAAAATCAAATAACTTCATAGGAGGAAAACCAACTTTTACCAGATGTACATAACCTAACGACTATAGGTTTTTATTTTTCTCTCTTAATGGCACCTCTAAGACTGTTTCAATTCCACTCTCACGAAGAGGGCTACCTGTAGTCAGCAACCCACTGGACACATGCTCAGCAGGCAGACCTGGTTCTGGGCAGCACACGACAATCGTGGGGTGACTTGTAGCACAACTATGTGTGTGTTTGATCTGTTGGGCCTATGTGCTGGGAGGAATCAACAATCCAGTGGTGATTCTACTGGCATGCTGAAGTATCCAAAATCTCTCGAATGCACGCACCATAGTGGCTGCTGTACACAATAATAAATAAAGAGAAGGAATAAAATCCAGCCTCAGTAAAAAAATCCAGAGAAAAGTCCTCAGTCCTGAGAGCTCTCTTCCATTTCTTAGGCTGAATGAGAAAAAAAAATTCTGTAAACAAAGTGTTCTCTGACAACTTAAGTAAAGAGTCACTGGAACATAATTCCAGAATGTCAATTTAACCTAGCTTACATGAGAAAGTATTTTAAAAAAAAAGTGCAAGAAGAGTTCAAATGAAAGAAAACTACTGTAAACGAGCCAGAGGGAGACTGCTGTCAAAATTTCTTGAACATTGATTTTTTGACTTGGTGTATTTAATATTCTCATTGACAGCCTTGACGTTAGAAGAAAAAAAAGTAAGAATGCACAGAATAGGAAAAAACAGCTGGGAACATTATCAGTCCAGAGCAAGATCGGAGTACTATGAAATTAGACTGCCTTGAATGCAGAATTTCAAAAATAGGTTAAGATTTCCTATATATATTCTGTATATGTATAGAAATACTGCAATTTTTATTGCATAAATTGAGAGTTCTTTATTAGAAATAATCAATACATATTGAGAAAAAAATCCGATTTAGCAGCTGGTGAACTTTATCTGAAAGCGAATGTAACCCTTGCAACCCATGTTGAAGACTGAATTCATACCGGAACAGGAAGAAGGACAAAAGGGGGATAAAGGACCTGTTGTGTAAAAGATTAGTAACTCACAGATGTTGCACACTAAAATGAGTTCTTAATACTATTCCACCTAGGGTTCCAGGTCAGTTTTTAACAGAAGCTTTTATCTCATGGTACATAGCAGCAGATCAAAGTCGATGACCTAAGGGTATTTCCTAGCTCCCCTTTCTTACATAAAGCAAAAAAATATAGGAAACAAAACAAAAGCAAGGCTAACTGTGTGTTTGTGCATATGAAGAAATTATTACTAATCATTACTTCCCTTACTTATGGATTTCTGATATAGTATTACAAAATTGAAAACAACTGTAACCTACCTGTTAGAAAACACGCCAAGTCTAAGAATTTCATTTGTTACATCTTCAATGAAAGTTAAATATAAAAGCTCCTCTTCTCTGCAGGGAGAATAGAAACCCCAATGTTAAATGCTTTACCACAGAAACACGTATGACATATTTTAGTCAGTTTAATCACCTTCACAGGAAAAACCATTAAGATTTCATAGTTCTTGTATCAGCAGGTTTTTTTAATAAAAGGTAAGGCTATCATGACAAACTAAGCCTTTTGTTCAATCTGGATAATAATAAAAAAACTGCAAAATCTGAGACTGTTAGAAAGGCAGTCATGGTGCTTTGTCTTCATGCTAACTTTCTGTTGTGGTATAAATTAGCACAGAGATCCCAAGTGAGGGAATCAGTGAATCTTGGCAAGCATTCAAAACCCAAGAAAGGGGAGCTAATTGGGAAGAAAGTGTACAATTGCAGTTTGATGCTCTGGGTAAAAGCTTCCAAAGGAGCTTCTAGAGAATATGACTGCAGCTGAAAATTTCTGGTCCTAAATGTAAGCTGAGAATGATTAAATTGCTTATTTGTCAGAATCCTCTCATTTTAACATATCTCCTTGATATACAAAATCTTGTTAGTGTGAGAGGTGACTTTCACCTCTTATCTCTATTTTAATTCCTCTGAAAGAGCTGTTGATGCCAATTATCTTAAATCAGATACTCTCAAAAAATCTGGAGTTCTGCTTTAAAGACAACAGGAAAGAAAATCCCCAAAAGAAAATATTTCAGTGCTCTTTCTTTATTCATAGCATCTTTCTAAGTCTCCCAAAGCATCCAGTCAAACTCTATTGAGTCATTCTTCAGTATTAATAAACAGAAAATAAAAAATGGAATACATCATGCACGATTTTAATTACATAAAAATTGTTATCGTGCCTAAATATTCTACTTTGGTTCCCTCTATAGTCAAGAAAGTTACCTAAAGCTGGTATTTGAGACCTCTATTATAAGCCTAAAGTTAGGCAAGCACAAGCCTGTCTTGAAGCACAAAGAATTAAATGACTTTTGCAAGGCCACTTGGTGAAGCATTAGTAGTGTTTCTGAATATAAGTCAAAACTCTTCTAATTTTCATCTAATTTCGGTGCAGAATTGTGGTAAGATTGCCTTTCAATTTGGTGTTTCATTTGCCAATATTTGCTTCAGAAATTACAGATCTAAAAACAAATGGAAACAAACTATAGGCACTATACAATCTTCTGAAGTTATAATGAATTTTCTTTGTTTTCAGATTCACTTAATTTTTTTAAAGTATTGTATATTTCAAGTTCATCAGTTTTGAGGAAAGCTTTCTAGTTTGATGTTATAATGAGCAGAAAAATGGTTTAAGTGTACTTACTCAGTATCGACAGTCCTCTTTAGTGAAGACTTATGAGGACAGCATGCTGTCTCCCTAATCAGAAAATGAGAGGTCAAGAAAAAGAACAACATTCTAACTACCTTGCATGTACATTTCTTCTGGAGTCATGGGGTGCCATTATATGATTTCCTTTTGCATAAACACCCACCATAACACCCCTAAACTCTGCTCCATTAGCAAAATCCCCTGCTGGCACTGAAACTTAAAAGACTGTGGTTCAAGAGTATTTCACCACCTCACGTGATGCAGTGCTCAGAAGACCTCGGTACTACTTCAGATGCTGTTCAATTCCAGTTATCCATAAGTATGCTTTTTGAACTCACAGTACATTTTTTTTCCTCAGACAAAAATGCCTTTATATGAAAAGGCCAGAGAGCAAATCAGCGAGTCATGCATGACACTTCGGTCAGCAATCAGGAGAATCAGCTCGGAGCCCTTGGGTTCTGGCCTGATTTCCAACACTGCTCTTGTGTTGTAGCAATCCCAGCATTAAGTGTCCAGAAAAAGATGTGGGAAATGCTCTGCAATGCAGTGTTTAGTCACAGTACTGTATAGTCTGTGAGCTCAGATGTACAGAACTAACACCTGTATTAATGTGTCTCAATTCTGACTCAATTCTTATGAAAATACTCATATATTTCAGAGCTGTCTTCCTTAACAGGCTTCCCAGTGGAACTTATCACAAGAAAATAATGAATTTTGAAATTGAGAAAGGCCACTCATATTAAAAACCCAACAAAAGTCCTGTGAGAAGAAGACTTATAAAGAGAAATGCCAGTGAAGACTCATGGCCTAAGATCAGCTGTATAGAAAGTAACATTTCAAATATTCTCTCCTGTAAATCAGGCACCTTAGGATGGAGGCTTGACAGCAACCTACTCCTCTCCCATGCTCATCCAAAGTATGTCTTTTATCTTCAGCCTACAACAGAAATAAAAATCTTTATTTAATCAGTGCAAATACACAGTAAATTTTACCATTAAAATGAATCTAATAACTCTCTGTGATTAAGCAGCCCTAGAAATTCCATGTATTTTCTGAGAAACTCTGAGTAAACAGACAAAAGGGATACCTTCTTCTGCAGGAAAGTCAATTATCTGTGACCTTAGCAGACATCTGATATTGCACTTATAGAAACAATTTTAAAAAATAAATTTGAGATCTCTTCATGTGCCTCAGTGTTTTTTCTTATAGTTTATACACAATGTTTTGAAATTCTCTTTCCTCTGTGGAACTAATTCATGTCATGGCGATAGAGAGAAGAACACCTGGATCAGCTGTTCACTGCTGTGGCAGTGATGAAGTGAATTACCCCACATTGGTGGTGGCAGGTATGGGAAGAGTACCCAGAAGACTGATAGATAGATGCATTATTACCTTTGATGTGATCTTCTGCTGTTTACTCGTAACTTTTCTCACACACGTTTTGTCTGCAGCTGGAAAGCTACAAAATTTAGAGAGGTATTAGATTCCCAAGTAGACTGCTTTCAAAATATGCAGAAAGAGAATACCAGTGCCACTGTGGAAATGTCTCACTGGCCTGAACAGAATGTAGTACTAAACAGTTCAGAAAATTTCTGCCAGATACACAGGTGATTCAAATTGATTCTTCAGCTGCACATTAGCAGGGGATAATAAAATATTCAACATGATTGTTCAGACTTAAGAATGGAGATTATCCTAAAATTAAAAGTACATCAGGAAAATAGATGACCCAGAGCCAGAAAATCAGCAGTTGCAATACAGAGCCAAAGCTATCCTAACTCCAGTCTTAGGAAATCACCAATTTATTCTATGACAAAACTGGAGTTGGACAGGAGTGGAGGACACAAAAGGGAAAATATTTCTCTTTACAAGGCAGTATCAGTAGAAACAAACTAAATCAGAACTGTTCAATTTGCTAAGAAGTTCAATGCAAGAGAAGGACATTAATTTTGTTTAAAATATTTTATATGAGGTATATCTGAAGATATTTAAATTCAAGTGACAAAAAAAACAATAAAGAGCTGCATTCAAGAGTTAAAAAAGGATATTTGCATGATGTATTAATTAACAGACTGGAAAGTATGAGACTACAGGGGCAATAGTGTGGAACTACTTGCATGCTTATATTGGTTAATTCTTCACAAAACAGAACATATACATCAGAGAGCATAGGGAGAGAGAGGGAATGATTATCACCAGCACATGTGAGATTCCACTGTTTGAATTTAGTGGCACTTCATATCCACTTTGTATAGATTAAATCAGTTGTTCCAGAAAGAAAACAGCAAAATGCACCAGTGAAAAAAGTAAAATCACATTCTGTCCTAGCTTTTGCTAAGGCAGATCTAGAATAACATCAGAATAATTATTCTGGTCTTATACAAATGCAGTGAGAGCAAAACATCTTGTTTTTATGAAGGCATTATGACAACATCTAAATTCCAGAGTTTCAAAAAAAAGTTTCAATCTCTGTACCTGATCATATCAGTCTGTGTTTGAGCTTCCACACGCAGCTTGTGGTGATTTTTCCTCCTCCTTTGAGCAGGAGTGTAAAACCTGTAGTCTGACAGGAAAGGTTTAGCATCTGATATTAAGGTGCGTGGAGTAAACGGTTTCTGGCTCCTGGTAAAGTATTCAGAGTGTGTCTCTAGGATATCCCCGCTCCTCACTCTGTGGTGGTGCCCTCGACACTTGTGGGAACAGCCGGTGCTCACCAAACTCTCGGTGGAGCGACTGCGTGACAGTACAGTGTGTTTAACTGGTGGCCTTGACACACAGATACTTGAGTTTGAGTAAGGTGCCCTGGTTGTATTCCGAGAACATTTCCTGGTGATTTTTATGGGACTGCAGTGAACCAAGCAATGCCCGGCACAAGGAGATGTTGCTTTTGATAGGCACTGTGCCTGCCCAGAACAGGGGAAGAGATTGTCTTCTACTTCCATGAAAGTCTAGAAAAAAGATAAAACAACAGCATTCCAAGTTACCTGCTTTGCTTATGATGGTACTCCCAGCTACTACTGTTACCAACTTGGAGGTATTTTCTATGTAAAAACTTTCTATTTTTGTAAAATCAAACTGGTTTCACACCAGTCTCAGTGCTAAGAGATTTTAAAACCTAGCCATTGGAAATAAGAGAGTAATAAGCAAACAGTTTGCTTCAGTACCAGAACACCGGTGCTGTTCCAGAATATTGATGGCTACATCAAACCAAGAGTTTAATCAATAAATTTTTAGAAGTCAAGAAATCATTGCACTGAGGCAAATTATCTGGATATGGTCTGTTCAAACCACCTGGGCAAACTAAGGTAAACATGACCCGTAATTATCCCACACTTAAAAATTCAAGATTACTCCTGAATTTTATTATGACACTGTGGCAAAGACAAGTAAGACAGAAACACAAATAAATTCAAGTAGCATTTTAATGTGGAGTTTTTTGTTCTCTTGGTCGTTTGTTTGTTTGTTTTGTTAAATTAGAAAGAACAATTGAGTAAAAATTTTATTTCAGTCACAGAGTTTTGAAAAATTTGCAGTATCAAAGTATAAATACCTGGACAGGGTATGCATACTCGTAAATTTGCTTTATGATGTGTCTGAAACACCTTACAAAAACAGCTGTTGAATGTTATTTTCCTACCTAGGATGTAGCTACCCACTGAATATTCTGTCAATCGGTGAAATTATGTATGACATGTTACAATCTCCATGGGCAAGGCATACTGCAGAACTGGAAGATTAAACCAGAAGCCTATCAGCAAACAAAATTTTGTATAAACCAATTTATTGCATCCATACATGTAACAACTGTATAATGCAGAAGAGATGACTTCCACTGTGTGTATTCAAACTGCCTAGCACCACAGCTCCCAGAGACAGTGCTTACAGTGCAACAGTGAGGGAGACGAGTGAGGATAGTGTTATTCTGGAAAATCTCACTGCTGTACCATGCAATCAGCAGGGCAAAATAACAGCTGAATTATAAGAACTGAGAAAACCTAATCCAAAACCAACAGCTAACTTTCTAAAATTACTATCATACTTTCCTAACACTAGAGCAGTTCATATAGGTCCACATCATCAGCAACAAAGTGCTGCAAGATTTTAACAGAATGTATAAAGTAGAGGTGTTTCCAAAGAAGCAAATTCAGTTTCTAAGGCCATTTGAGGTTTTGAACAAACTTAAAGTTTAGCTCAGATAGGCTAACACAGAAATTAACTTGTCCATATACCTCCACCACCTGAACAAAGAATAGGAAGATAAGGAGACACCAGTACAAAGGAAGAAAAGGAAGATGATTTCTGTATGTGTTTCATTCACCTCTATTATACTTCTATCAAACAAGTAGAAACTATTAAGCAGAAGCATTACATTAACTGAAGTTACATGTGCCCTGTATGAAGATACAGGAAGAAGCCTGAGAAAGAGTGGATGCAGTTTGGTATGACTTACACATATGCTGTGACCTGCATTTATTTATGACATACAACCATAATGGCAGTTGAGAAGATTCACCAGATTCACCAAGCAGCCTATCCTGAGCTCACAATTAAGCTATCTGGAAACTACTTTGAAAGAATAACACTGAAACCTCGAGAAAATCCTCAAGAACATTTTTTGAAAAGAATCAGCTGATTAAAATGTGAATTGAAGGCTGGATGTGTGATTTTCCTCACCAGGCAGTGACAACAGCCTGAATGCCAACAAAAGTCACAAAAACATCTCTAAAAGGAAGTGCCTGTGGGGATTCTGTAAGATAATCAATATTTGTCCTGAGACTTCTGAAGTCTTCTACTGGATGGGCATGGAGACAAAAAAAACCCAATGACTAAAACTGGAAATCTTTATACATTTATTGAAAATTCATGACATTCTAACCTACAAATAGATAGTACAAGATAGTAATATATTACTAGTAAACCAGTAGGATACAGTGTAGTATATTAACCTATATAATTGGTAGTATGGCTTGTAAAATACACAGATTTTCTATTCTACCATTCAACCCTAAAAAAAGTGTTCTTAAAAATTCTAAGCAATAGACTCTTACTGTATAAATTCTCCATTTTCTCATAACACTGATATTGTTATTGGTTAGTATCTACACTATTTTATTCCTTTTCCTTTCAAAAAATACTTTAAATTAAAGTTCAATTATGATGAATATACATTTTGTAGCATGCAGTAAATGCTATTTAGAGGAATATAAAAAATGCAGGTATTTTTTCATGAGAATCAAGTCACAGATCACACTGCTGTCATACCATATATTTCCTTCACAACAATTTTCTCTCACATCAGTAAGACCTATCTAAACTCTTGCAGTACCCCAAAATATCCAGAGTTGCTGGTGCCCAGTGCAAAGAGGTGTTTTTTTTTTAGTTAGCTAAGGCAAAATAAGCTCTTCTTGACGGTGTCTCATGTGAGTCAATTGTATTTTACTACTACAGCATAATTAAATGCTGAACTGATAACATGCCGTTAAAATGCCAAACAAATGCCTGTGTTAGCAAGCAGAACAATGAGGCTTACCAGTGTGATTGTTTGCATATAAAGTAGCTGCAGTGGTAGCTCAGCACTATAGAAAACAGATAAGACTGGAAAATTTCAGCATCCACCTATGTAGATAAAAGCTAATTCCACACCCTTCAGTGTATATTATAAAGAGCTTAATTCTTATAAATGCTTTACTCTCAGTGACTAAATCAGTTCATTGAGCTGCAATATAAATTGGATTGTAGAAGCATTTGTGAGCATATGAGGACTGGTTCCCTGCATAATGCAAAATAATTATTAAGAAAAGATACGAAGTTCTATTAGCCAATTTATCTATACCTCATGAAAATGACATGTTCTGTTCCTCAGAAGCAGTTGAGGAAAACAAGACAAAGGCACAAGGTTGACATGGCAATATCCTAAATTTAAGCAGTCCGTATATAAAGGGCAGTTATGTTCTCCTTCTGAAATATTTCCTCCGTGGAACAGACCAAGTAGCTCGCTAGTGACTAGGGAGAATTGCAACCCAAAGCTGCATCCGTGTCAGCTGTGAGATGTACTCATTCAAATGCTGAGAAAAGAATGTCTTTCAAAGCCCTTATCCTGAGGCAAAACTTTACTACTCGAACAGGGAGAAGTGCACTCCAAGTAGACAAAGAAATTATATCATGAACAAGGAACTATGTCACTTCAAAGGACTCTAAGGAGTGTCAGAGAATGCTGTCTGCAGTTTGTCTCTTTTGAACTTTCAGAAAATTATCCTGTGTTGCAAGTAAACTGTAAGCAAGTATGCTCACTTTCTGTTTTAGTCTGTTGTCTATAAAAACATCAGATGTTTAAGTAGGAAACAAACCAACAAAAGACAAAAACATGCCTACAAATAGCATACTTACTAAAATATATTTAGTTCTATTCTTTTAAAAAAAATTCCATTATAATATCTGAGCTTCAACTATTAGAACTATCAAGAACTATAACTAATGTAATTTGGAGTAAAAAATCTTGACTTATATCTTGCTTACATCTATTCTGTTGATTCAACCAAAGATAATCTGTTTTGAAAGATACAAATCTACTTGATACATTTCAGCAACTCCTTTAAGAAGTTTCATAAAGTATGCACTTATGCTTCAATTTTTTTGGTCACAAATTGGGGTAATCTGAACAGTACTTTGCAGCAAGCATGTAGAGAGATGACCTCGGAATTGAATTGAAATAAATTTTCATGGACTCTGTGGAAGACAAAATTCAGTAAAAAGAGATCAAAGCATACTGCTGTCATCTGATGGGCAAAAGTAGTAACACAGAGAGAGAATCCAGACTTCTCTATAAGTTACCTTCTCTTTCTACAAGTTAAGTTTCCCAGCTCAAAAGCCACTAAAGTATCAGCTGCCTCATAAAAAACAAACTTTGAAAAGAAAGGTTGCTAAAGTTTTTCACATAAAAGGTCCAAGGCAGCTCTCACTGGGGTTGCTGAAACTACAGTAAGATTAATTTAATCTTGAAATTAACTTGTTTTTGTATGAAAAGGTCTTCCAGTAAAATAATTCATCTACCATCACAAAATGAGATCAAAAAGATGTTTTATGAACTGCACTGTCAAGATACAGAAGCTGCAAATTTGCAATAAATGAGTGTATGATTCTTTTAACTTGAGAAATCCATTTAAATATTGCTGTAAGTCAGCTGAGCGCCTGCTCACTGCTGTCTGGACAGAGCAAAGGTCTCCTATAGGAAGTGACAATCTGCCTTTAGAGAAACTTCATACAAATATGTGAACAAATTGGACCTTCTATGAATATATTCAGTTTCTAGCCTGGTATCACTATTTTTCAAAACTATGTTCCCGGTACACTCTTTCATTTTGTGCGTGTGTGTGTGTGGGTACCAATTCTATAATGTGGTAGGTTCCTCCTTTCATCTGTGATGTTATTAATAAGGGTTATTACTGAGTGTGCATTAATTCAAACAACCAGCACAAGAGGTGATTGGCACTATGAAGCCCAAAAGGAAACCTGAACATTCCTAATGAAAACAGCTTTCTTTGATGCTCAGAAGGTTCTTCTGCCTTGTTTAGTCACTGACATCTCCCATTATGACAGAACTAATTTAAGCACAATACATGTTCAGACTGCTGGTATCATAAGAGCATAATAAATATTTAAATATAAAGCATTTGAGTAGGCATTTCACACAGCCACACGTGTGTTGCATTCAAAATTAACAAGAGAGTAGAAGCAGTTAATGGTGTTTCCCAATCTGTATTTCATATGCACAAGCAGATGGCCACAATTTTCATTCTTCAGAAAAAAAGAAATCTCAAAAAACAGGCTGAAAGGGATCTTGAAATGTCAGGCATTAGCATACATCAAACCATTAAAAGAGAAAATTTAACCTCCTATGAAGCAGTCCTCCTTCAACTGACTTTTGGCATGGATTAATTAGTTTTAAAAAATTCATTAGCAGACAATTGCTTAACAGGATTGCTTGAATCATCATAAGATATGAAATACCAAGTGCTGTTCAAACCAGAAACCTTACTCATGGCCAGCTCAATTCAGGTAGAATTTTAGAAAATCTTATTTTGAAAAGCAAAGGAAAAAAGCCACACTTTGTTCCAGTGCATCCTTTTCTTTTAAAACTGGGAGTTCATGCAGTGATTAAAGACTCATGTTACTTGGTTTTGCAATAAAACAATTTAAATAACTTTGCCTGCCCCAAATTTGCAAAAAAATAACATGGAAGGACAAAAATGGTATTAGTCAGAAATAAAATTTAGATTTTAAATATCACATTTCCTCCCTTTTCTTCTTCATGCCTGTGCTTTCAACCATAACTGAGAGCCATGTATTGAATTTCAAAGCACTATTTCTCTGCACTGCAATAAGGTCACTCAGACTGCCTGCTACAAAAATCAGTCACACAGAAACTGACGGTGTTCGCTGTACTACTTGGAAATGTCCTTTAGCTTTACAGATATTTAAACAATGTATGAAGCTTATGCTGTTAGAATCACAGAGTTAAATCATTACTCTGTTTTAAGCTGCAATTGCTCATTTACAGCGATGAACAAGAATGTAATTTATTGGATTATTTACACATTGATTAGTTAGAAATACACACCACATATCTTGATGAAATGCTAGCTAAACAAAGTGAACCTATGCATATAAGCAGAATATATATATATACAGAATGGTGTGTTTTGGTCTAAGCACTACTTCCGCTTTCAAGAAATGCAACTGAATGATTTAGTATACTGGTAGATAAAAAATGTATTACCAACTAGGACTTTTCATTAAGAAAAAAATGTGAGATTCCTGATTCTTCTGCTTGGATGGGTAGAGGTAACAGAGTTCTGCTTTAGGAAATGGTACAAAGCTCTGGAGTGACAGAGGACTGGAATTTCAGCTGAGGTGAAGGCAAGAGAATTCAAGGGTAATTAGAGCTTGTATTTGCAAGCACTCCTCATCCAGATACCTAACATCTCTGTCAGAAGGTCAAGACATACATTCAGTGTTGGGCACATGCCAGGAAGACCCCTATCTACTTTCTGCTACTTCAAAGATTCCCTCACTGCTGCACAGCAGTGATCAGCTGTTACTCTGGGGGCCAGTATATGATAGTATCTACTGAACAGAACTAAAATACATACCTTTTTAAAAGAGGATGGCAGTGATCTTCCATTGTCTTTTGAACAGGACTGAGAGGCAGCTTCACACATACACATTTTCTGTTCACACTTGCCCATCCTCTTTCTCAGTTTCTCTCTTCTTTGCTGGTCAGCAACTTAGGGAAGAGACAAAGTTGGTCACATCCAAACTGAAATATTCTTTGCTTCCCTAAGTGATTTGCAAACATTATAGTAGTTTCCAACTGCTCAGCAAAGTCAGACTATTGAGATAAATTTCACTACCAACACACAGCAGTTATAAAATGTGTGTCTATTCTTGGAAGAAAAATTATTAATAGAATACGCTGGTAGCTGAAGTTATGTCTTAACTTTCCTGAAATTTTCTTACCTCACAACAAACACCAGCATACAGGACTTCCAAGATCAGTATTGCTAACAAAGCATTTTGCTCAAAAAGTTACAAACTCTCTATCAGTTTTTTTACAGCTAGAACTCCTTTGACTGTACTTTCATCCAGTATTTCAGAATAAACCCTGTGTTTATTGTTAGCAAATCTGACATGTAAAAAAATCCATGCCTACAATATGGAGTTTCCTAAATAGAGAAATCCAGGGCAGAACAAACAAGTTTTTGTCAAGAACACAAAAAGAGGGCTACTTTCAGATCAGGAGTGGAGGATTTTTATCAGTCCACACTAGTCTGCAATTCAAGACCTCATCTGCAGTGTGAGAAGTTGAGTCAGATATCTATGTCTTCAGATAAAGAAGCCCAAAAGATGGGTAAATTTTCTGTGCATGAGTTTGCCATCATTCACCTGAATCTTACATAATACAGACCAAAGTTGCTGCATATTGTGAGCAGCCATGTTTCACAGATGAAACACAAAATCATTTAGGTTGGAAAAAACCTTCAAGAGCAAGTCCAACCTTTGATCAATCACCACCTCACCAACTAAATCACAGCATGAAGTGCCATATTGAGGTGTTTCTTAAACACTTCCAGAGGTGGTGACTCCACCACCTTTCTGGCCAGGCCATTCCTATGCTTGATAACCTTTTCCATGGAGAAATTCTTCATGATGTCCAACCTAAATCTCCCCTGGCACAGCTTAAGACTTTGTCCTCTTGTCCTGTCGCTGGTGGCCTGGTGGAAGAGGATGACCATCATCTGGCTACACCCTCCTTTCAGGCAGTTATAGAGAGTGACAAGATTTCCCCTGAACCTCCTTTTATCCAGGCTAAACAACCCCAGCTCCCCCAGACACTCCTCAGAGAACTTGAGCTCCAGACCCCTCACCAGCTTTGTTGCCCTTGTCTGGATACACTCCAGCACCTCGATATCTTCCTTGTATTAAGGGCCCAGAAGAGGACACAATACTCAAAGTTCACAAAGTTGAAAAATCCAAATGAGACTGATGGAAACAGTTAGTAATTTCATTTCCAAATAGGGAAAAAATAACACACTTTTGAAGTCTGTATACCAAATGAAAATATTCTCATTCACTTAACACATATCCAAGTGTATGAATCATTTATTTGATAGAGATACACAAAGGCCTTTGAGGAGACCTATAGCAATCTGAGGACATTTAAGCAACCTTTAGAATGCATTCATCTGTGTACATGTACCCTACATACAAGTTAATCTCCAGGAAATACTTAAGTAAGTGTATTCATTGCATTAAACATTTTAGTCCCCTTTTAAGATAAAATTTAATCTTTCAGATGTGAAATCTTTGCTCTCATTGCTCAGGAAAATACCTCTTTATCTTTTAATTCTTACAATTGATATGTAAAATACAGAGTCATTTCTTTTATGGCTGCTGACTTATCCATCATATGCTATTAGAGCACTTCCAATATGAGACTGCTTAAATTACTGAAAAAATATTAGCTGAAGTTAACAAATGCTACATTATACAACTCTGAATTAAAAATATACATTGTAACACAATGATAAAATATACTGTACCATTAAATAATTAAAATTGAATGTTTTTCTTTCTATACTGAGTTATTGCATCTGTTCTAAATTACTGTTATTTCTAATTGTGTTTGTTACAGAGAGTTACTGAGAAGTACTCAAAAATTAGCTACAGGTTAGATATTTTACATGTTTGAGACAAATAATTACTTATTCTGGGCCAATGTAGCATGTCTGTGTGTGCACATGCATGGAAGCTATAAAAACTCACATCTTGCCTACTGCTCAGGTAAAATGGTGATGGCTGATTGAACACATATCTAGAGAAACAATGTGTGAATGAGAGCCCTACAGAGCAAAAATGCAAATCATACAGAAGTATGGGTAAGGGTGAGTAGGTGTCTGAAACAGCAAATTCCTCATACTCAGGTGCTTGGGTGAAAAGTGGGTTTGTCAAAGACAACACAAGCTTTAACACCTCACTGCATGTTCTACCCGCGCACCACGGCTTAACTGGAGTGTTGGGGCAAAGCGCAAAGCAGTGTGAATATTACTGCAAAACAGAATTCCCACGTTATCCTTACTCTGCTCTTTATAGGAGAAACTCTGAAATTTGACATACATGAATGCCTTTACTACTGGCATTCAAAGCTGTTAAAAAAACCTCCTCCAGGACTTTGTGCTATGACTTTTCACCCGAAGCATGGCTCATGCCCAAGAAAAAGGAACAAAAGAACAGTAAGTATTCTAGCTAAGGCTATCTTGAGATATCAGAGCAACCCACTGGGACTACCATCACCTGCATGGGAAATGTGGAGTCTTTGCCTCACACCTATCATAGAGTGAGCTTAGCTCAGCTAATCCATTAAGTGTGCTCCAAAAGCCATCGTCACTCATGTACTGAAAGACAGCACAGAAATGCAGAACAGAATGTCAAAACTCCAGTAACATACACATCTTATTGCCAAATCAGGAATTTTCAGGCTAGATCTGTGGTAGAAGCTAGGAATTTTGAAACCAGCAAAGTAAAAGATAGAGAAATCCTTCTTAAAAAGAGTTAATGTAGATGTAAACAGACAGCTGGAGGTAAGTTAGGACAGCTCTAGGCAGTCAGCAAGTAACACAGACAAACGTGGAAACAGGCACGTTGCCCAGCCTCTCCTTAGTTCACATGTCCTTTACGCATGCAAGGAATGGAGAATCCAGTCTTATGCTTTGACTTCAGCCAGATAGAAAACTTGCCTGCAACTTTGGGGCACTAATTACAGTATTACAATGAGAGGAGCTGAAGATACTTAAGGCTGTCATACATAACCACTTGTGTTGCAGTGTGAATGTATTAAACACAGAAAGAGAACAGCATTCAAGAGACACTGAATTTCAGAAGGGAGATTTAGCTTTTGACTGAAAACATTGTTCACTCTTGTGCTTCAAATCCATTACAGATACAAAGCTTCTTTAGCTTTCAGTGAGGTTCATAAACTAAATTTTAAAGAAGTGCCCCTGGCAAACTGCCATAGACTAGTGGGAAGTAAATATAAACTGCATTTGTTAACAGATACTTGAAAAAGTTTCACTGCAAGTAGCTTTTATTTGAACATTGGCTCCAGGAACACATCACATAGTTGAATATGGGGGAAATCCATAATGGTAAGTATCTTGTGACAAATAAATTAAAAAAATAAAATGAAACCACTGGATTACTTTTCATCTTTTAAAAAGGGGAAAACAAAATGTTTAGGAATAAAATAATAGTCTGGAGATGCAAATAATGAGTCCCTTTAAAAATTTTATTATACCTTTAGAGATTAACTGTATCTCATTAATTACTATGCTCAAAACCCCACAGATTCATAGTAAAGAAAACGTACTAGAATATAAACAAATTAGTGATTCTGTAGATCAAATAAATTCAGTCTGTGAACCTTGATTCCATAACTTATTGAATCAACTCCATGAATCCATTTTCTTAATTTTGTTGTCAGTGAAAGGAAGCACAAGACTATGAATTTCAGATGTTAAACTGTAGCACTCCTCATAAAGAGAAACCTATAAAACACTGATCAATCTGTCCCTTTTGCCTAGGCAAATACTCTTTGCAGAGTACGCCACACTTCAAAGCAGTGATCACATCACTTTATTTCCCTTTTAGAATACTCCCTCTATAGGCTTAATTATTTTTTCTGTAAGTCTAGACTGCAGCAGCATTTCAAGACATACTTAGAGTTATAAAACAGATGTCATAAATCTGGAAGAAACAAACTAATCATATGTATCACAGCCCTGGTCAGCTTGAAAGCTCTGCACTTACAAGGACAGTGTGATCTGGAATGCCAGTGGTTGTCCTTTGCTCTGAATTTCCAATTGCTAAATTTATCATGTCACATCACAAAACAGTTGGCAGTCAAACTTCAAGTTATTTCATTTTTGATGTGAATAATCAATGGCAGACAATGAAATATAAAGTTGGATTTAAATTTAGTTCAGCTTGCAGAACAATGTATCTTAAAGGAATTATCCAACACTCAATTTCTCTACCGTGTTTTTATATAAGCTATTTTTGCAATAACATGGTTTGAGTTACTATTTCCCTTTAAAATTTCTAAGATAAATCATACAAACATCATCTTGGCTGAGCTTGAAATGCCTAGTGGCCATAACTAAACTGTCCAGCATACCAGTTGGCGGTATTACTTCTGTAAGCTCTTCTGTCTCAAGGAATTTTTACTATCAGTTTCCTAGCTTTACATGAATTTCCAATACACCATGATTTAAGAACCTGGGTGAGATCTCATTTTGCATTTGATGAATGCATTTGATGAATTCACCCAGAAATTTAAATTTTCGTAACTCAAAGAGATGATTTTGCAACCCATCTTCACATCCGGTATCAGTGGCACTGTTTCATCAAATAAGGGAGGAATCACCATAAAAAAGGGTGACAAAGTATTTACTAAGGGCTAGATAGTAAAGCCTTGCTTGTATCAAAGTACTGACTATATAAGGGTATGTACCTCAGAAATCTGATACTACTTGGCAAAGCTACTAATGGCAAAATTTGGTCATTGCTAAAACGCCTAACAGTGAGATATGAATCCTTCAAAGGCATTTCAGAAGAGGCTAGAAGCACTGGATTATCCCAAATCCATCCAGCCCTGATGCTCCTATGGGGTCCTCATCCAGCAGATGTCTCTTATATACTTCAGTCAGCCATATGAAGAACACAGCAGCCTGCCAGCAGTGACTGCACAGAACCTGTGGAATGCTGCACTAGCCCTGAAGGAAACAGCTAAGCCTGCCCGGGTAAAACCCCATTTGTGCACCCTAGAGAGATGACCATTGGGCTTCTAGGCGGCCTTTGACTGTGATTTTTTTTTTTTAAGGTACCACTGGGGCAGCCCTCAAGGACAATTTAGACACACTGTACTGAGATAATGCTGAAAATAAGTGGAATTCATAATTTTATTCTTGTTCTCTGGTATGCTATTGCTATTTTGTAATCCTGAGTAATGGTGGACAATTGTATAAGAACAAGTAGACAGATGGTAAAGCTGGGTAAATTAGATTAAAAATAAGGGACACATTTTCAGTAATAATGATGAATAACTACTGAAACATCCACAAAAGGAAATTATGTTTTCTCTATTTCTTGACCTTTACAAGTCAAGACTACAGGCTTTTCTTGTTTTTGTGATTTATTTACCACATCCAATATGGCTGTTAAGTTCCACATTAGCACAACTGGATTGAACTTTTGGTCTGCTTAACTCATGATGTCAGACTAAATGATCTAAAGTCTTTTCAAACTACAAGTTGTGAAAAATGTATTTTTGATGTGGATATCTAAAATTAATTATCGCTCAAAAAAACCCAAGACTTTTTATTATAGAAGAAACTTTACAGTAAATAACTTCTGAGAAAAAAGAAGTAAGACCATCACATTTAAAAGTAAAGATTCATGAAGATTTTTTTACCTATAAGTTTTCCTGCTCACCAAATTTCAGACTTGATAAATATATTAGAACACCTTTCCAAACACATAACACAGACATAAGAATTACCTGAGTATCTGAATTTAAAGAGCTTATATTAGTTGCTTATAACTTTAATTTTCAGACATGCATACTTAAGGACAAGATTTAACAGAAAAAAAAGGCTAGGATGATTCTGTGAAAACTTCCTTTAAAATGGCAGCCACAACAAAACATGTAAGTTTTTCATAGATCTCTGCTTTTTCATTATGTAAAGTGTAGACAGATGTATGTGTTCACAGGAAAAATTAAGATTTAAATATAGAATTATGTAACAATATGTATTTCTTGATATTTTTGCTTGAACTTAACCCCTTTAAAGGGTAGAAAACCAGTATCAAAGAGACCTGCATTCCTGAGCACACTAATCACTGGGTTCAGGCTGTTCTATCAATATGCCTTGTGGAAAAACCTCTAAACATATGAGTTGAAAAGTTAGTACTGTTAGAAATCAGGCATGTGTAGCAGCAGCTGTCTTACTTGGCATAGCCTTTGTCAAGTTTTCTGGCACAAGTTTCACAACCACAGACTTCTAATGGCCACTGGTATCAATCAACATGCTTGGACTAATTCTGAACATAGAAGTTTCACATTTCAAGAAGTTTCACATTTTAACAACTATTTTAAGTCAGTAAGCCTGATCTAATACACAGGAACATGCTCACTGCTAGCCCAGGGGCATGGCACCTTGCCTGCTTTGCTGCCAGCTAAGATACCAGGAAAGAACAGTGGAAACTAAATCCACTTTAAGGACAGAACACATTCAGCTGGCCAGAGAGAAAGCCAACTACAGTATCATGTTTAATTCTTAAACACTAATGACTGATTCATGGCAACAACCCCAAAGGGAAATACTCACCTGCTATTCTAGCAGTACAGGAAGCACATTTTCAGGAGACTTTTTTAACACTATCTGTAGGAATTCTGTTTTGTAACTCTATGCTATTAATAAATCTTATAATTTAAAATTCAATTTACCCCCCTGCCCAAATCTCAAAATAGAGGGGAAACAGAAACTTTATTTGGAAAGCAACAACTAGTAAGACAAACACAAAGAGAAAAAAGAAATAATATGCTTCAGTTGAAGCAATGACAGGCAGAGAAATACTGTGAGAATAAAGGTTCAAACCCCTCATCCTCAGTGACACTATAAGGATACTCTGATATTCAATTATACTGAAGTTGAAATTGTGCCTGGGTAAGTCATGTGTCTCATCTTGAGCAAGAAAGAAGAAATTGTTTTGAAAGTATTCTAAAATCCCTCTTCCATTACTTTTCTTCCTCAGCACATTTTCAACATTATTAATGTCTGAGCTATTGGCTGTCATCTCCACGTAATCTGTTTCACAAAACAAGAGAGAAAGAAAAATGATTCTCCAGTGGTTTGCCAGAGACTCTACAAATGGTACCTTGCACTGAGCTTAACACCTGAACATGTCACACTTGGTTGCATGGTTATCACAGTACAGAAATCTGTATTTCTTGATGAACAATGCATAGAACTGCAGGAAAAAACTGCAACCACTCTAATTTTAGGTACAAAATGAAATTGAAATAATTTTTAAATTTCATTCTAAAAAACTAGAATTTATAAGGATAGTGCAGAAACTGAACAAGATATGCCTGGGTAAACTTAACTTTAAATACCTTGAAGTCAGTGAGACAAATAATGATGAATTTGAAAGCAGGTGTTTCCCAGGAAATTACCTCTATGATAACTGCAAAACTTTCAGCCTAAACGATAGTTTCTTATCTGTTTGTAAAGGAACCTCAGTCAGATGAAACAGCATATAAAGGAAGAGGGTTAGAAAAAAAAAATCAGCTACATGCACACACTGAGCAGTGAGAGAAATCCTCAAAGGCTTTTTTTATTAAGAAAGGTCCAGGATTTTTGTACCAGATACTTAAGATTATCCTCTCACTTGCAGTTGAGACCCTTTTGCCATTGACAAATGAATTGTCATGCTAAGCACGACTAATCACCAACAGTCCAGATCCATCTATCCAACATTCCACTCGATGCAGATTGAATGCATCTACTGGTAGCTGAAGAAGGATGTGAAAGCTGAATAAAGAAGCAGACTCATGAACACTCAATTAAAGGTTATATGCTATTGTTACTCTTCTGATGGCTCTTTTGCTGAGTTAGTTTTACAGAACCATTTTCAGAATCAACATATAACAAATACTTACGTTTGATGCTGGTCGACCTACTTTTGGGTGCTGAAGAGTCTACAGCTGCTGAAAATAAGAAAAATACCAAATGTGAGTGATTCAGTATTTACTTAGTATATGTGAAAGCTAGAAAAATGTAGTAATAAACCAACACAGAACGAAGACTTATTTAATCATTGTCTATTTTAAAACATGCTAGTTACTGTGTACTTAAAGTATTAGGTTGATACTATTACGGTCACAGGATTTGAGAGATAAAGCTGTCTGGGTAAAACACATATTTAAAGGAAGAACCATCACTTAAATGACGACATTGTCCTCTGATGGCATTTACCTGCATACCTGAGGATACTGAGTGTTACATGAGAGATAACATTGTGAGTACTGTATTTGTGAGTATGGACTCTGTCAGTAACGTGATTTTCTCATTTGCAAACACACAGGGCAATTTTCGCAGTCCTTAGAACCTGCTATTATTATTCATTGGAAGATGAAAAAAAGATTACGAAGTTTTAGAATTAAAAAAAAATAGAGACATAGTGATCTGAGTTTATCTAGAAATGTTCTGCATTCATTCCTAAAATAATTTCTGGATATTTGCTGTTATGCCTATCACTGTGACTTTCTCTTCAGCATATTGTTTCATAATTCATTATTTCATCAAAAGCAGAATGAAGCCAACACAGCACAAAGTGTTCTAAAATTAAGACAGGATCTTTGGTAACACTTAAAGAAAATGTTTTCATACAGAATTTTCCATCTCAATAATACAAAAGTATTATTAAGTACCAGCCACATCTCTTTGCTGACAGGTGTAAGAAACAGGAAGAATAGTAAACTTCCTACAATCCAGTTAATTTCTTCTTGGTATGAGCCTATTCTGAGAGACTGAGCTAAATATAGGGGGAGACAGTTCATTCATACATGCACATTTTTACCTTTGGCTGAAAGAATTCTGTTATAATGAAACACCATGTGATCTCTGATCAGATATTGACTACCTAGATTTCGAGAGGAGTCAACGCACAAAGCTGTAAGATTAAAATACATTTGAACATTAGAAAGGCAATCAAAAAATACTGAAATTTTAAACAGTTATTAACTGCAATTCAAAGTCACAAACTTCAAAACACTGTTTAACTTCTTTGCTCAAAGGCAGTATTTTTTATTACCAGTTACTATCACATGAAATCATCCTGTCTCCTTTTTCTTTCCCCAATGAGCCATTAATTCAATAAATAGCTGCAAAAGTGGCCGAAACTGTACTATGAAAATGTTAACATGGAAACTTCCTGTTTCTTTACTCTGTTCTTTTGGAAAAAAAAAGCATTTGAGGTGTCAGTACAGCACAGAAACATACACTAGCCATGTAAAACACTGACTCTAAAGGAACATGTTTAACCTCAGGGTTTTTTTAATACAGTAGACAAATAGATGTATGTATGTATATTACAGCTAATAAAGATGGGACATCCTTATATATCTGTTCATCTTGCTACCAATTTGTAGCCAGCAGTACAGTCAAGGCAAAACTTACTCCTTGAAAGTAAATGTAAGTACACTTAAACTTCTCCAAATAAGCTCAATGCAAAAGTTTTAATAAAAACATTATAAGCTTAAAATCAATGAATTCACATAAAAGGAACCAGGTCGACCTTCTGATGAAAGTAGATGTCACTTACCATTACACCTAGTACTTAAGTGTCCTCTACATGGACTTGCTGGACCACATCTGGGCATGCCAACGCCTGAGTTTACAATTGCTTTAACAAAACATCAAAGAAAAACCGAAAGTTAGAGAAAAATCCCCACACATATTTTCACAGACAAGATAAAGTCCTTCTCCAAAGTATGCACATATAGTTCTAATGGATCTTTTCCAAAATCTCATTCAATCATTTCATAATCACTGAACTAGAAATTCAGTAGTAGTTTAACTAAATCTAAACGCCAAGACACAATGATAGTGCTTTCAGTGGTTCAAGGTGCTAAGCAGCAGAACAGACCATCAGAATACTTTAGTTTGAACTTTACACTGATCATTAAACTGTACAGACATATGGCCATGATTATGTTTCTATGCTAACCTCCAATTTGTTTCTAAGTCCCATTCATGGCACTTCAATAGACTGGGAACTCTATAGTCAAGTGGAGATGCCAACAAAACTTAAACCACCAGTTGTTCTGAAGAATGAAAAATGTAGACTAAAAGATCTGCATCTCCTCTTTGAAAACCACTGGCTGTCATGCAACCTAAGATTTAAAAATTGGCACAGGAACTAATTAAGAATCTGCAGCACTTTTAGAACAAATTTGAACAGGAGATATGCTAGGACTACAAATACTAGTGTATACAGAGCACTGCTTTAAGTCATCCATGGTATACAAAATGTAAACCAAAACAAACAAGATTTTTTTAAACAGGGTAAATATACCAACCACACTTACTTAACATTAATTCTGAAACTGTACAGATGAGTTCTACAGATTTATTACTATTAACTATCAAGGACCACATGGTCTTCCCATTCCCATCATACTTCTCAGCTGTCAGTTCAAGAGTCTGCAACCACCATGCAGGTGAAGTGGGAAACTCCACTGCTGTACTACTCCTGTTGACCTCTGGCTTTCCCCCTTTCATCACATGAAGAAGCACACTGGACCAACCCAGTGCTTACCTCCTGCATGCCCAGCACCTGGCTGTCTGGGGCTTCTTTTTCAGTTCCCACTGTTATATAATGACTGTTAAAGTACTATTGCAATTACATATATAACTACTGTAGTATATAGCTGTTTTTAAGTCCAACAGTGTGGAGGAAGTCCAGGAGGTCAGACAGACCCCCAGACCCAGCTGCAACACAACAGCATGTTGTGCAAGATGGTTAATACAATGTCTTAAATATTAATTCGTAGAAACTGCAGAAAAAAAATAAATCACTCATTTAACAATGTTTTAACATTATTTCTCTATAGGCCTTATAAAAAAGCCATACTGTGCTTAATTTTGAATGACTAGGACTAGTATAGTAGTATCTTAAGTAGATTATGAAAAAAAAAAGAAAATGAAAATAATTTTACCCTGTTGTGAAATGACACTAAATCTGGATCAATAGATTCAAACTCCTTTCTTACAAAGCACAAAAATACCAGGGCAATCTTGAATTATTTTCATACTTCGAAAAGCCAGCCTTTATACTGTACAGGCTTCTGTGGATTTACATTACAGTATTAGCTGTGGTGTTTGCAATAATTGTGGTTCCACTCATTTTGCTGCCAATTGCCAGACCAACAGTTGAAAAGGGATAAAGCAACAAAAAAGAAAATGCTACTGCAGATTTTTTCAACACTATCCTGTAATTATTTTAACTTTATACTGTTATTTTCAAAGCCCAAGGACAACATTCCTGCTCATCTGTATCAATTTCAAATTGCTCATTCTGCTCATGGTACAATTCTTCCTTATCTCTGTGATTTAAACACACATTGGAACAAATGAGAAATTAATTTTTCAAATATTAAAATTCCTAACATACAGCAAGAATTTGTTAGATTCAGAATGTTTCTACAATGACTGCAAACCTTTGCCAATAAAGCCTTTCTTTCCTGCTAAAATATTTTATTTCTCTACCTTACACTACTACATACAAATGGTATTCACAGGCTAGCTGGATCCACCCTGAAACCCATGACTCTGAGCACTTAAAATATGCAGGTGTTGGAAGAATGCAAGTCTTTGGGAGAATGTAAGATTATAAATTTTATAATATTATAATAATATTATAATTATAATTATATATAATTTAAAATTATAATAATAATTTTATAATTGATAGAATCTTCTCTAATGATAAAAACCTGCATGTATATATATCTTCAATCTGGATTACAGCAGACAACTGAGAATCAGAAGTGTTTCATTCACAATTGTTCAAATAAACTAAATATTATTCCACTGTTTTCTGTGCTTCAGAGCTAGGCTATAATTTCAGAGGGAAGCACGTGTGGTACTGTTAGGTAAACGCTTACAATACCTCCTCTTAACTCAGCCCTATATGACAGAATCCTAAAAGGGCAAGCATAATCACTTAAAAAAAACCCCACATTGTTCTCTCTACAATTGATTCTCTTCTAGTTAGCTAAATGACTTTGTGCTGCGTTAAACACCACCAGGGACCCTCAGAAACCTGTTGCCTTTACTGTCTTCAGCTGGAGACGCGACTATTCAGCACTGCAGGAAGACCAGACCTTACAATGTTCACTTTCTTTGCATCACCACAAGATGGCACAGTGGAAATTCTACTGGAAAAATTACCATCATCTGGTTTTGTCCTTTACAATGAATTTGTATCCAGCTTCCGGGAAAGGAGAAGGGAGGGAGAAATAAGTCGGCATCAGTATTTCATTGGCAAGAAAAGCTGTCAAAAAGCATCAGTTGAGAGAAATAAAAAATATTCCTGTGCCCTCTGTTTTGACTATGGACATATATAGACAGCACAGAAATGACTTATAATGAAGAAGCAGGTTGCTAATGTCAGAGAAGAAACTGGAGAATTTGATATGTGCAGGCTACTTCTACCTTACTGAAGGTAGGAAGTGCTAATGGCCAAAAGTTTCACAACTATAATTTCAGGTTGTCTTTTGACCTGAATGGGTGTTTATTCGGATTCAGCCTGTTTTCACAGTTATTTGCACAACAGCAGAAACAAACTGAAGGCTTAGATATATGAAGAGAATTTTTAATGAGAAGGTGGGATTTTCAGTAATTTACAGTTAATCAAATATAAACCAAACAATGGGAGGAAAACTACAAAAATATCTTTGATATATGACACATGTAACTATCTGATCTAAATGTAAATTTCCTTATAGATCTAAGTGGACTGTCCATACTGAATATAAAATCAGGATTTTCACACTGAGTAGTCTCCTAAAGTACAGAGAGCAAGCAAATTAAATACATCTAAAAATTTATTTGATCTTTTGGTTCCTCCTATGATACTAAGCAACAATGAAGAAAAAAAAAGCTTTCTCTAATTTTTTTTCCAGCTGCTACTGAATGTAAGTAATAACTACATTATTCCAAAGAGAATTGAAAGACATTTTGTTTAAATTGCATTTTTATTTTTATTTAAAATGCATTCTATCTTAATTTCTGGTTTTACAGTATTAAAAATTGTAGAAATTGGTGGTTTATTTTGTTTCCTGGTTGTTAGTGAATGTGCAGAATTTATGGAAATGATTTTTCCACAAAGCCATTTCAGATTTGGAACGTGAATATGTACTGGAAAGAAGCCCAGTCTTTCATTACCACAGTCTCCCAGAAAAGATTTTAAACACAAGTATTAGACTTACTATTTTTACAACAAGCATGTACTTCAGTCATAGCAAATAAAAATTAAATAAATAAATAAATCTATCATGCTACCATTACCCATCAAGACTTGCTACTTAAAAGATAATCCATAAAAATACAGGTGGGATACTGGATGTAGGCATATAAATCTAGCACTACAAGACATGAAACCTAATCTGTATAGAGACCTGCAAACACTGTAATTTCCAAAGGGCAGCTCCCACATCTTAGCCTGGGTTCAAACAACCCTCAGCCCCAGGTGCATTTCGACCTCAGGTCCCCCCAGCTGTTCCAGAAGTATATACTTATCACCGTCAATATTCACCCTTCCGTGCAGCGGTTTGGCTTCTTGGTGGCTCCAGGACTCTCACACTCCTAACTCTCTAGTGGCCTCCTCTCAGCTGGCAATGCAGAAAGCACCTCTAACAGACTAGAATTGCATCATTTGCATGAGATGTGGGCATTTTAATCCCTCTGAGCCTGATAAGGACCCAAGCTGACAAATACTTTGCTTTGCAAACACTCTAGCCACTACAGTGATTTTTAAAGGTTTGGTATTGCTTCTTTTACTGCCAATTATTTTTCTTGCTTTTTTTCTTCCCTAATATCTCAGTGCTCTAAACAAGAAATGGTTAAAGAGACGCCTTTGTACAAGTGGATAATTCAGGGCAACAACGTGCAGAAGGCTTGTGCTGTGAATTTCATACAAGTCCATGATGTCTATCACTACCACCCTTATTCTACCAACCAGTTTTATCATCTTTTCAGTGGGCTTCCTGCTATGAATTAACTCTTCAAACTCCATACAAGTAACAGTGCAGCACTAATGCTGTACACATGCCGAGGAAAGAACAAAACTGGTTTAAACCATCTCTGTGAAAGCCCAAATGAGTTTGAACAGTGATGCTCCTTTAAGCATCTTATCTGATGTCTGACAAGGTCATACTTAAATGAATTAATTAATACCCGAAATACATGTTCCTCTCCTTTTGGTACTAGGAGAATTTTCAAACCAGAGTATCCATTAATTTTAGGCTACAAAAATTGTTGTATATATGAATACAGCACAGAAATACAGAGCAAAGACTGACAGCTCAGAGTACATTAAAAGATTAACCTAGTTACAAAAATCCACTTTGGATTTAAACTTTATGTAAATAAGAAACTATTTTTTTCTATTTTTAACTCTTTTCCCTTCACATTAACATCATATACTTAAAAACCCCATATTCTATTAGTAGTACAACTAATGAGGCCAGCTCTCCTACTCATGCAACTCACATCCTTGTTCCATTCCCCCTAAACTCCTCTCAATGTCCCCAGTTTGCTGCCTGTTCCTTACCTGTGGTCATTCCTCCCCTCAAACATCCCCTACTTGCTCAGCTGTGGCTGACGAGGTGCTATAGGAACTCCAATTGCTCATCTAGTTTA